GTATATGTCCACAGTAAGAAGTATATGTCCACAGTGAGAAGTATATGTCCACAGTGAGAAGTGCATGTCCACAGCGAGAAGTATATGTCCACAGTAAGAAGTATATGTCCACAGTGAGAAGTGTATGTCCACAGCGAGAAGTATATGTCCACAGTAAGAAGTGTGCGTCCACAGCGAGAAGTATATGTCCACAGTAAGAAGTATATGTCCACTGTGAGAAGTATCTGTCCACAGTAAGAAGTATATGTCCACAGTAAGAAGTATATGTCCACAGTGAGAAGTATATGTCCACAGTGAGAAGTGCATGTCCACAGCGAGAAGTATATGTCCACAGTAAGAAGTATATGTCCACAGTGAGAAGTGTATGTCCACAGCGAGAAGTATATGTCCACAGTAAGAAGTGTGCGTCCACAGCGAGAAGTATATGTCGACAGTAAGAAGTATATGTCCACTGTGAGAAGTATCTGTCCACAGTAAGAAGTATATGTCCACAGTAAGAAGTATATGTCCACAGTAAGAAGTATCTGTCCACAGTAAGAAGTATATGTCCACAGTGAGAAGTGTACGTCCACAGCGAGAAGTATCTGTCCACAGTAAGAAGTATGTGTCCACAGTAAGAAGTATATGGCCACTGGGAGAAGTATCTGTCCACAGTAAAAAGTATATGTCCACAGTAAGAAGTATATGTCCACAGTAAGAAGTATGTGCCCACAGCGAGAAGTATATGTCCACTGTAAGAAGTTTATGTCTATAGTAAGAAGTATATGCCGACAGTGAGATTTATATGTCCACAGTAAGAAGTATATGCCGACAGTGAGATTTATATGTCCACAGTAAGAAGTATATGTCCAAAGTGAGAGGTATATGTCCACAGTAAGAAGTTTATTTCCACAGTGAGAAGTATATGTCCACAGTGAGAAGTGCATGTCCACAGCGATAAGTATATGTCCACAGTAAGAAGTATATGTCCACAGTGAGAAGTGTATTTCCACAGCGAGAAGTATATGTCCACAGTAAGAAGTATATGTCCACAGTAAGAAGTATATGTCCACAGTAAGAAGTATAAGTCCACAGTGAAAAGTATATGTCCACAGTAAGAAGTATATGTCCACAGTGAGAAGTATATGTCCACAGTGAGAAGTGCATGTCCACAGCGAGAAGTATATGTCCACAGTAAGAAGTATATGTCCACAGTGAGAAGTGTATGTCCACAGCGAGAAGTATATGTCCACAGTAAGAAGTGTGCGTCCACAGCGAGAAGTATATGTCGACAGTAAGAAGTATATGTCCACTGTGAGAAGTATCTGTCCACAGTAAGAAGTATATGTCCACAGTAAGAAGTATATGTCCACAGTAAGAAGTATCTGTCCACAGTAAGAAGTATATGTCCACAGTGAGAAGTGTACGTCCACAGCGAGAAGTATCTGTCCACAGTAAGAAGTATATGTCCACAGTGAGAAGTGTACGTCCACAGCGAGAAGTATATGTCCACAGTAAGAAGTATATGTCCACTGTGAGAAGTATCTGTCCACAGTAAGAAGTATATGTCCACAGTGAGAAGTGTATTTCCACAGTGAGAAGTGCATGTCCACAGCGAGAAGTATATGTCCACAGTAAGAAGTATATGTCCACAGTGAGAAGTGTATTTCCACAGCGAGAAGTATATGTCCACAGTAAGAAGTATATGTCCACAGTAAGAAGTATATGTCCACAGTAAGAAGTATAGGTCCACAGTGAAAAGTATATGTCCACAGTAAGAAGTATATGTCCACAGTGAGAAGTATATGTCCACAGTGAGAAGTGCATGTCCACAGCGAGAAGTATATGTCCACAGTAAGAAGTATATGTCCACAGTGAGAAGTATATGTCCACAGCGAGAAGTATATGTCCACAGTAAGAAGTGTATGTCCACAGCGAGAAGTATATGTCGACAGTAAGAAGTATATGTCCACTGTGAGAAGTATCTGTCCACAGTAAGAAGTGTATGTCCACAGCGAGAAGTATATGTCCACAGTAAGAAGTATATGTCCACAGCGAGAAGTATATGTCCACAGTAAGAAGTATATGTCCACAGTAAGAAGTATGTGTCCACAGTAAGAAGTATATGGCCACTGGGAGAAGTATCTGTCCACAGTAAAAAGTATATGTCCACAGTAAGAAGTATATGTCCACAATAAGAAGTATATGTCCACTGGGAGAAGTATATGTCCACAGTAAGAAGTATATGTCCACAGTAAGAAGTATATGTCCACAGTAAGAAGTATCTGTCCACAGTAAGAAGTATATGTCCACAGTGAGAAGTGTACGTCCACAGCGAGAAGTATATGTCCACAGTGAGAAGTATATGTCCACAGTGATAAGTATATGTCCACAGTAAGAAGTATATGTCCACTGTGAGAAGTATCTGTCCACAGTAAGAAGTATATGTCCACAGCGAGAAGGATATGTCCACAGTAAGAAGTGCATGTCCGCAGCGAGAAGTATATGTCCACAGTAAGAAGTATATGTCCACAGTGAGAAGTATATGTCCACAATAAGAAGTATATGTCCACAGTAAGAAGTATATGTCCACAGTGGGAATTATGTCCACAGTGAGAAGTATTTATCCACAGTGAAAAGCATATGCCTACATTGAGAACTGTATTTCATCAATGAGATTTATATGTCCACAGTCAGAAGTTTTGCAACTTCAATATAAGACCAAGTCTTTTGCACTTTTGTTTTTCAATGTTATCTCCATTCACCTCTATGTAATCCGCAGATTGGCCCCCTAACCACGTCTCTGTGGCAGCCTTTATGTCCTCGTCATCCTGGAAGCGTCTTCCGCGTAGGGCAGATTTATTTTGCCGGAAGAGAAAATAGTAACTGGGGGGCTAAGTCTGGGCTGTAGGGTGGGTGATTTAACTGTTCGAACCCAGACTAAGCCCCCAGCGACTATTTCCTGTTCCGGCAGAGGTTAGAGGGCCAATCTGCGGATTTCTATAAAAGTGATATTAAAAGTTTGAAGGACAAATGGAATAAGTGCATTGAGGTGAATGGAGATTACAGTAAACTACGGGTATAACGAACACGCTTATAACGAACTGACGGATATAACGAACTAACTTATATATATGCTTATAACGAAATACGGTTATAACGAATTAAAATAGTAGTCCCTTTGAGTTCGTTATAACCGTAGTTTACTGTATATTGAAAAATAAAAGTGCAAAAGATATTCTGCGACTTGGTCTTATATTGAAGTTGCAAAACCTATTGAACGCCCCTCGTGTATATCCACATTGAAAACTGTATTTCAACAGTGAGATTTATATGTCCAAAGTGAGAAGTATATGTCCACAATAAGAAGTATATGTCCATACCAGAAACCAACTATTAAGAAAAAGACCGCTTGATGAATTTAAAATTTCAAACTTTTTTAGGTACAATTGAGCATGCTCTTTAAACAAAGATTTGAATGAACGGTACACGACCAGCTCAAAAGTTGTTTGATCAGACCTATAGCATTCAAGTTTTCAGAACAGCTTTCAAAGAGCTCTATGGTTGAAACATGGAGGACTTAACAAAATGATGCATGTCCCTATCACTTTTATTTATCTGATAGGGTAAGAGCCCATCTACTCCCATACAGAGAAGATATGTGTACCAGATAACCTAACACGTGAAAACATCAAACTCGACAGTCGGTCATGAGGTCAAAATATTTTATAATACCATCACAAAAAGGAGAGCGAAATTATCCATATGTAAACAGGTTGGTTGAAAGGCATTCTGTGGATTCAAATGTGCATCTTTTCCCTGCTATGTTTTAGGTAATGTACAAAGTGCAAGCTTTGACAGGTTGCAAAATACCACAGGCAGCACTAAGGGTTTTCAGAGAGGAATACTTGAGGCACATGACAAAATTATAGTCGCGATTTAGGACAGGCAGAATGATAGTAGATATGGCTACTGATTCCGCTTGGCTAGGCTTCGTGCCCTCGCAAAATTGTTTCGAAATTATATCTCAAAAGTCGCCCAAACATATAAAATGCCTGAGCTACGTCACAGTTAGACACTGATTTTCAGTATATTAGACTGTTCTTTTGATAATGATAGCAATTATCCCTGTAATTAATCCAGATTCCCGAGGGTTAATTCTGACTCGATCGCCTAATGACGAGGGCGACGCCATGTTTGTTCATAAACAGTGAAAGTAGTCCCTACTTTCCTTTGATATTTGCATCTCTATCCGCATATGACCCAAACGGATATCGTTTTTATCCGTTGGCTTTATCCTGCCGAGAAACCTACCCATTATATGATAAAAAGTATTATCATACATGTGGAGCTCACAAAACATGCAGATGTTTAAACTCAGTTTACGTTTGTAGTAGCTGACGTCAAGGTTAAAGAGGGATGTGGCAATTTAAGGTTATATACTCATTCAAGTCATTCAAGGAGCTCAAGGATCTGAACTCATACAGCTATTTTGCCAAGTTACCCTGCTTTGTCATTATGGAATTTGTTCGCGTGATCACCCTGTTCATCAGCCGACGAACGTCACCAAATACTACGTCAAGCCTTAAAATGCATAACGAGAGGCTGGGACTCTCAACTGCTCCTTTTAATATGGATGTATGTAGGACGGCGCATCTGTACAAACTGTCTAATCTAATCTGATTTTCAAGAAACGCAAGCGATGAATTCACTCGAAAATTCGTGCATTTGAAGATAGTTTGCTTGGATTAGTCCGTGGGTTGATGTAGTTGGCTTTGATTAAATGCAGGACATGCGGACAAATACTTGACATCGAGAGGGTATACGCCTCACATTACTACGCTCATCCCGATGAGATAATGCTTTCGCTCGTTACATTTGTTAAGAGACAAACGTTTGTTTGATAATAATGAAATTAAACAAGCGTTTCATTGAATTTACAATGTCATAATAACAGAACAGTCCACTATGTCCCATTATTTGATTGTAGTGAATGAATCGCATTTCTGAAAGTCGCTTACCCAGACCACTGGACGCTGAAGTTGACAAGTACTCCCAGAAGGACAACCAAGAGAAGGAAGTGTATCTTCATTCTACACAAGCTGCCCTCAACACCCCCGATACGTCGGACGCTAACACTGTTGTATCAACAGACTGTTGAATAGAGTGCGGCTATATACCGACTGTAGAGAGGCGAGTGTGGGTACTTTTTATACGAGAAACTCCATGACGTATATTACTGTGTCGTTCGGAAGCTGAATTGAGGAAGTTCTTATTGAATAAGAGGTCTTTATTTGATCAGGTTGACTACACCTAGATTGCTGTTGAACGCAGCTTTTATTGAACAAGTGGTATTGTACTGCGGTAGAAATCATGTGTTGTGTCTTCAGCGTTTCTAACAACATGTCGTCCAAGGCGCCACGATTCGCTGTGCTGAGTTGTGTCCCTTGGGCACGCCAGAAACCTATGATTGTGGGTTCGAATCCCGGTTCGCCCCGATTGTGTTTCTAGGTTTGTCAGCTCCATACCCGTGCTAGTGGGTTTCACCGAAGTGGTAAACGTCTGAGACTACTTCTGGAATCTAGGGGTGCGTTGCAAAGCGTCAATCGCTTGCAAGCGATGTACAGCGATTCGCCTAACAACAGTGCGCTAACTTTCCGCCGCTAACAAGCGAAACAATCGCTGGCTGAGGTCGCTTCGTTGTCTAACCAAAATGGCGGCTGACTTTGACCGCGGAAGAAGAAATTCTTGACTGGATCAACGAGGAAATGCGCAAAGGCAGCTGACACCCCATCATCCTCGGCCAGATCCACATCTTCAAGGTCGTAATAAATTTGATCAGCTCGTCATCGAGCCTCTTCTGTTACGTTCTTCATTACGTCAAGGCAACCAAGCGGTTGTTGCGCCGCCATTTTGGAAGAGTGCGCAAGCGCTTCGAGCTGTTGCAGACCCCGGTGTGAGCGAGTAAGTTGCTTTCTCTAAGCGATTGGTGGCTTGCAATGCGCCCTAGATTCGAGTGATTTCTCTGACTTATAGTTGATATACAGTTTCTCTATAATGTTGCATGATGACCTATAGTTTCGTCTTACAGACTACATTGCAGAGATTGTGACCTCGAAATAAGAGTTTTATACTTATTAATGAAGTAATCTATAGATACTGATTTACAGCTTGTAATGGAAAGACCTGCAGAATGATTTATTGGTTCTACTGTATATTCCGAGGCACTCTCATAACCACCACTTACTTACCAATATTAATCACGGGTACAACATTATTGCAATATCATTTAGACGTTTCAAAGAATTAATCCTCATTGGGTGATAGTCTGTTCTTCATTTATTTCTTCATTTCGATATAAATGTTAATAAAACAATATACGATTGCAAATGTTTCACTGATTCACTGACACGGAAATTGAAGCTTTATCTGTACCGTATCTCCTCATACTTATTGGCATATCTCTCCCTCTTTGGGATGATATATTCGGCCACTGTGCTTATCTGCTCAGCCAAGCTACATCTACATCTCCAAGACAACGTCGTAAATATACGACGTTATCAAGTTGCGAGCACAATCATGTTCTAATCGCCAGAAATGACGTCATGACAGAACACCATTCGATCTTCTTTGCCCTTTGCGATTTATCGCGTAGCTTTCTTGTACACGAATATAATGCCTGCCCGTTTGATATGAATAAAGACCAATACAAAAGGACATTGGCTGACATTGGGTTGACGTGCATCTCGACATTGAAAGACACTACCTCGCCTGTCAAGGAAGTGCAAAGTGAATCAGGACTCTTCGGGAAATATGGCACGTGACGAGCAGCGATTACCCCAGTTTCGACGTTGTGTAAACATTGTCCATTGTCGTTGTTGGCAATATGACGATTCGTAGGAGTCGGCACACTAACGGGTGTTTTTGGGTGTTACGGTTTACAGACATAAACGTTATTGTGTAGTTCAACGCTTATCCTTGTTCTAATACTTGGAATTAAAATGTATGTGTCATGATTCCCTACATTTTTGTAACAGCAAAGTTCAAATTGCACGTATTTGTCTCCCTTATAATCACCAACTGATATGCAACAAGTATAGATATATCATACTTTCAGCCAAACAGAATTACAAGCGATGGCTGATTGATTAAACTTATAAACAGATTAAATTTTGACTTTGTATCTAAACTGCATCACTAAGAAAGTAAAGGCTTGACTATGCACGATATCGTCAATGACATCTCCCCCAAGTAAACGGACAGATCCTCCCTCTTCAACCTTGCCACGTTTGTGATGAAGAATGTTGCATATGTCAAGTCAAAAGAACAGGCCGATATTACTGGACTCGACAAGGAGCATCTGGTTTTGTATTCAGTTTATTCTCCTTTGGCAATAAGTTCAAGGTCATCAATGTAAAGAATGTGAGTAAGGGATGTTGGAGATCTGTGCTGAGAAGGTCCAGGATGATAACCTTCCTCTTTGCTAAGCAAAAGACTTAAAATATTTAGTGTAAACAGTAAACAAAGGACTAAAAGAATTGCCCTGAAATATTCATCTCTTATTGGAAATAGGGTTTCGAAGTTACCACCTGCCCTTGCGAATACATCTCAAGTTGAGATGACCAGCAAATCATTAAAGACTTGAGTAAAACAAGTAGCCGCTATGGGGGATCACATATTCCATAGACTTCAAAATCCAATCGTGAGATACAGAATCATAGGCTTTTCTGTATCAAGCACATTGAGAGGTGAAGTTGGTAAGTTTTAGAATTTATTGAAAGATCATTTTAACCAGCAGCCCGAACATCCATTTCTGGCTCCTTTCTGTTCCATGTGAATAATGCCATTGGAAGATCTGTAAGACACTATGTAAATATTATAATATTATATTTATAATATAATTGTTTTCATACAAATATATGGCGGAAGTTTTTGGGATCACCTTTCATTTGGGAGAAGTATTGTTCGAACTTTGCACAACCAAAGCAGAACATTCCCTGTATCCACAAGCGAATTAAAACAGTGAAGTAAAGGTGTTTGGACATATTGAACATTTTCCAATACCAGTTTCGAAAACCATCAGATTCTGACGCCGTATTAGATTTAGACGTCTGAATAACTTATTGAAGGCAGTCGTGTGTATTGAAACACTCCAATGGTGGACTTATTTTGTCATATATATTAATATTTTTATCCACTACCCCTGGTTCATCGAGGGTATAGACCACGGCTATTTCCAAAACCTTTCAATGGAATCCACGGTTGGTCTTTCCTTATCAATGCCAGTTTCATCAATTTTTAACAGCTTATTTTGTTATGAAATTTCTTTTGTCCCAGTTTCCTTTCCTTTGCCTTTAAGGAATCAAGAATTTGATTGAGAATTATCTGTTGTCTTATATTTTGTTTCTAGCTTTTTCAAAATTGACTTTTAACGTTTTGACATTGATTGCCCTGAGAAACGTAATTTCAAGAAAATTTCTATCCAGGACACATCTTTACGTTTTTCAGTTAGTTTGACCTGGAACCAGTTTTTTATGGTAGACATGTGGATGACATTTCCAAATTTGGTGTCGGATGCAATTCGCTTATTTGACTTGAACCATATGTTCCCGTGTTTTTTCCAGGTGAACAATTGACTTGCCTTTGCATGTGTTTGTGACGGGTGTCACCGGTGGGGCAGGATACGCTCACCTTTTCGCGAACACCTGGTATCATCACTATTTGATATTTGATAGTGATTCATAAACACACGTTCATAATATAGTCGGAATCGGAATTGTTTAATTGTCCTCCCTTTCTTATTCGGTAATTCACTGATTTAATTATAGAATAACACAAACAAAATATACAACGTATCATCAGAAAGAGGGGTCGGAGTCGTGAGAAGACTCAAAATCTTCGTGGCCACCATCAGGAATTTCATTTTGTGAGCTAATGAATGGGTCATCAGTGACAATTGTATCAGGTAATGCGAATTTCCATTTGCAATTTCGAGTCTGCTACTGTTAGACCTGGGATTTCATGCAAAGGTGCCTGACGAGTGTTGGCAGTAAGCTCGTCAGGATCACAGAGCATATATCATTTTTTCCCCTGAGCTGGTCACGGATGTTTTGTTCTGTCAGGTATGCATACATTTGCATGTCTTTGTCCCAATGCTGCTTAAAGATATTGCCATTTACTCGTGGTATTGCTGTCCACCCTGTTGCTTTCGCATACTCAAGAAGTGTGGACTTGATCATGAGTTGGTGCGTCCAAGATATTCTTGCGTGGTTTCTGTGAATCCCCCTGTGACAAGTCCCATCTCCAGTGTGGTTGGTTTGTGTGTGTACAGGCGGGAGGCTGACTTGGCTGCAGAATTGGACGATGATCTGTAACACAGTAGTAAACCAGCTTCGGGGAGTTAGTCCTAACTTGGTAATGTACGTTTAGTTCAGGGGATTATATCCTCCCTATCTAGGCCCACCACAGACAGGCCCTTATAATCAGGCCCTTTTATTTGTTATTATTAAGTTCCAATGCAGTATCCCTTGATGCTTAATTCGCTCAACCGTTGTTTTAACTGTGGGGGCATCTAGTGAGCGGTTTTAGTGGTTGTGTTTCTTATATCAATTAATGTCAAACTGTCATATATATATATATATATATATATTGTCCTAACAGCTGGTGCCACTATTACAAAACTAATACTACTTCTTTTACTGACCCGTGAAGATCCGGGGAGAGAACAGGCTTTCAGGAACCCATGCTTGTCGTAAGAGGCGACTAACGGAATCGGGTGGTCAGGCTCAACTTCGTTGATGCATGTCATCGTATCTAAACTGCGTAGATCGATGCTCATGAGGTCTATCACTGGATTGTCTGGTCCAGATCGAAAAACCTGGATACTGCGAGCACAAAGAAAACTACCATTTAAAATATTCACTTTGAAAGTGTCTCCCATAACAGACTAATCAAATATATACTGAACCGCAAAAGAAACGTCACCCCAAGTAATATTGCATGAAAAGTTGTCATTTAAATATCTGGGTAATTTGTGTCAAAGTGTCTGAAATTTAACATTACCTTGTCCTGAAAAATGAAATTTGATGAAATAAAACCAAAAGCAGATGACAATAAAACCGATCGCCCAAACGCGTCACGGCTACGGT